TGGTCTGTAATTCTGCATTTTCCAGGAAGACATCTTAACCAGTCAAGGACACTGCAGGAGGTTTTGGCACTGACCCTAGAGAACACTTGTTGGCGTCCCACTATGAGTGAAGGTTCATCTTACTCTTATTTCATTTTTGCTTCATGGTATTCAGTGAAGCCTATTTTAACATTGCATACACTGCCCCTCTCTGGAGTATTGACTTTCTTTAGCAGAGATATTAACAGCTTACCCACATAATGCCCAACTTGCAAAACCAGTGCACACCTCCTTCTCTGGTATCTATCTCTATGTCTAGTGAGGGAAGCTGCACCAGTAGCTATGCTACTGAATGTTTTCAGGGACTGCAGACACCCTCACCATGATAAGGTGGAAATAGTATCAAGAGAGTTTCTAATACTTCTGACATTGAGACAAGTGTGTAGACAGTGCCATTCAAATAGGTAGAATGTAGAATCAGACTGGATCAGCTGTTGCTGCTGTGGTTGAAGGGAACAGTGTATGCAAGCAGTGTAATTGAATGCACCTGAACACAGATTTTGAGACTCTGATTCTAGTAGTAGAGGGGGTCATCCATATTGCACTTCCATTCCTAGGCTGACGCTGAGAAAGCAGAAGTTGGAAGAGAAGGTAAAACTGCAATGGGTCTTGTAAAACAGGCTGTACTGAAGTTAATTCTTGCACAAACAGGTTCAGATCTTCACATAAATTAATGTCGTGAATCAAAGGTTATTTTGATTGAGTAGACTAAATATATTGTGACATGTTGCGCAACGGAGGACCCCTACCTCTCCAGCGGCACGTGGCAGTAACGTAGCGCTCCCTCCCCCCTCTGCGGTGACGTAAGACGGCGCGAGGTAACAGCGTTGCTAGGCGAGAGTGAGTGTGTTATCAACAGTTCTCAAGGCAGCAGCCTGCAAGTTGAGTTGAAATCTAGCCATCAGAGAGTTACAAGTTGAATCGAATTCTAGTAGTCACCGAGTTTAGTTGGAACGAGTGAATCGTGACAGTGTGAAGAGATTTGTGTGTAGGGTTTGTAAAGGGTGTAAACCCGTATCAGTGTTATAATTAATTGTAGCCGTTACTTGTAGGTTGTTAAATAAACCAATTAACGATCTCTACAGTGTATTCAGTAACGAAACACGTTACAATATGAATATTTTTTCTTTGTAGCCCCGTGGGGTTGCTGGCATGCACAGAATATGTCAAATTCAAAGGGATTGTGGGAGGAATCTATGTGTGATCCAGTGCTAAATAAATAATTGAGAAGCTAATGTAAAATCTTTTATTGACTGTATTTTGATTCTCCCAAACTGAGAACTCTGTGGATTCATTATAATTAACCTAGCAATTTACGCATGCAAGCAGATATTCAATACTAGTGATTCTCTAAGCATCTGTGGCAATGCTCGATTTTTGATACCAGTCATGCACTTGGCATTGTCCAGTATGTGACGTGTATTTGCTGTACAAAGCATTTCAAGAGATGGTGCCTCTCCCATCTTCACGTAATTGGTTGTCACCCTGACACACTTTAATTGCCAGTTACAAAGATGCTGGGAGTGAAATTAATTAGGATGCATTTCTTCTGGATCCTCTGATAGCTGGATAAGGGTTGATATATAAGGTTACTAATGTTGATTTCAATTTTAACAGGCAAGAATTTGATAAGCATTTGGTGCCAGTTGTCTGTGAATATCAGAAACCTCTTCAGGACGTACATTCCATCACATCTGCATTTGAGATGTACTTCCTTGAACTTCCAAACCCTCTGTGCACATACCAGCTCTACCAAGCCTTCGTTGATGTGTTTCAGCACAGTCCTGAAGTGGGTTGGAGACTTTTCCACATGCAGCTTGCTGTGCAGAAACTGCCACTTCCCCACTAGAGATATTTTTGAAGGGAGCATGATAATTTTGTATTTACTTGTACATTTGACGCTTGTTAATATATAAAAAAAAAATACTGTGTCATCATGAACAAGTAGTTCACATAGCTCATCTCTGTTTATTGCATTGTACCCATTTCACTTGTTAAAACAAATCCTTTATTATGAATATTTTAGGAAACAGGTTGTCAGCAATTCAACTGATTGCAATCAGTTCCATTTAACAGTGTTGCAAACTATAATATTGGGTCAGGTCACATTTCCTTTTTGAATTCTTGTCAAAAAATTTCCTTATATGGCTATGCTATACTTTTCAGTTGCTACTTCAGCAAGAGTTAGGTGACTTTACAAGACCTTGTAACTTAAAGCAGAGGACGTTTTTCTCATGGTGTAGTGATGGACGGTAGCCACGAGGAAATGCTTGCTGAAATTGAACCCGAAAGAGATGTAAAGAAGAAGGCCTGCCAAGGAAAGGAGGAGGTAAATCTGGAAGTAGAAAAGCCGACCTAAGGGGACAGGAAACTTGAGGAGGTGCAACAACACAAAGCCCTAAAAGAAGAAGCCGAAAATTTGCGGTCAGAGGACCGAACAAAAGGCGTGGGGACCAAAACTGATGGACGAAAGAGAAACGGGCCCAGAATTGGGATGGGTGCTGAAAATAACTGACCGTCAACCATAGAGGGATGAGGCGCCGTGCGAGGCAAGGAGCAAGGAAAACTCGGTAGGAAGGATCAGCACCAGGAACAAAGTGGTGTAAGGAACCTCGAAAGGATGGACGCTCTGGAAGAGACAACGGGCGAAACAGCAATGTAACAGAGTAACAAGGATTGAAACTTTGAGAAACATGATTGGACATGAGACCGTGATGCAAATTATCGGATCTCCTCTCCCATCACAAAACATCAAGAACTGGAACTTGTGGAGGGGCCCACCCCCACCAAAGCAAACGAAAAAATGAAACAGTGCATAGAGGAGGAGCCGGTAATGTAGAAGCACCAGCCACCCAGCGAGAGTGAAAGTATGAGATAGGGAACACGTTGGATGAAACTGAACTGACCAAACCCTACCATGGAGCTGCTTGGGACAAGCACCCCTCAAGAGCGGATGTGGTAGAATGAACTGCGCAAAAGACATGCGAAGAACAGCAAGACTGAAAGCAGACGATAGTAGCAGGAATCGGCAGAAATGAAGGAAAAGGAAACTGTTTGGGATGAAAAACTTTAAGAACTGAGCAATGTGGCGTGCCACCGGAAAGCTGGAGTGACTGAGGAGATAAGAGTTGATTTCCTAGGCGACAACCAACGTTCCCAAGACAGCAGATAGGAATTGTTAAGATCAGAGTTGATTTCCTAGACAATGGGATGCAATGCAATATTGGAATTCTAACAGTGAGATTTCCCCATTACACAGATTGTCAAAGCAACTTTGAGAGCAGCAGGTGGAATGACCCCTGAGACTCAGTGTTCTCAATCGAGTCCATACCCAGTTTCTAAAAGTCCAGCTTCAACATGAGACAAGTTCAGTTTGTAGTTGATCTTAGAAGAGTAGTCAGTCTTTAGTTTGGCAGTAATTGTGACTGTGAATAATTGTGACAATATGGTGAAGACAGACAAAATGGAAAACACATTCCAGGACCATGGAGAAGGATCAGTTCTGGTGATGCAACAACAGCTCTGCTGATGCAAATTTATTAAGGGAAGGATGTATGGTACATCTTATACAAAGTAAAGCAAGTGTTCCTTGGCAAGAAAAGTGTCAATAATCAGAAGACTCGCAAAAAGATATGTCATTTGGAATGTCCAATATAGCATAGTTTTATTCATCTAACAAATCCACGATAGTTATTTCAATATACTCATTTCAAGTGATACATCAATCTGAAACTAACAATCTGAATTTACTCACATGTAATGGCAGCAGGGCACAGATAAAATACAGCAAAACACATATGATGCTGCCGAATTATGTTTATAAGCTCTCAATCAATTTCAGTGACTACACACTACTAACAGTTAATTTCCACTTCTGAATGAACATCACAGCTGTAGGAGAGTGTCATGTCTGTTTCCACTCAAGAAGATGGTAATGTGCGCATTCAGCAATCAGAATCAAATGGAACTGATTTGCATAGACGTCTTGTTCCATGGGACTCAGTTCATTTCCCATTAGTTCAAAAAGTTAGCAATAGTAATCAACTCCAATAGCTTGTAGCAATCTACAAAAATGCAGCATGCCACACACAGCAAAACTGTCTTAATTACAACATGAAAAACTAAACCCACCTCTACTGCTCTATGATTTACTACGCACATCAACATGTATGAGCTGATGTCTTTTCAGAGAACTCTGCTGACTGAATGACATATTACATAATCAAAACTAAATGGCTTCTCCCGACTTTATATACGGTGATGTGTCTTCAGATCACACTGCTGGCTGAATGACCTATTACACTCGTCACAACAAAATAGTTGCTCCTCATTGTGTATGCGCTGATGTGTCTTCACACTACCATGCTCAATGAATGACTTATTATATACATTACAGAAAAATGGCTTCTCCCCACTATGTATGTTCTGATGTGTCTTCAGATAAGTCTGCTGACTGAATGACTTATTACAACATCACAGAAAAATGGCTTCTCCCCACTATGTATGCGCTGATGTTTATTCAGAGTAAACTGCTGACTGAATGACTTATTACAAACATCACAGCAAAATGGCTTCTCCCCACTATGTATGCGCTGATCTTTATTCATAGTACACTGCTGACTGAATGGCTTACTACATACATTACATCAAAATGGCTTCTCCCCACTATGTATGCGCTGATGAGTCTTCAGTCTACTCTGCACACTGAACGACTTATTACATATATTACAGCAAAATGGCTTCTCCCCACTGTGTATGCATTGATGTGCCTTCAGAGTACACTGCTGACTGAATGACTTATTACAAACATCACAGCAAAATGGCTTCTCCCCACTATGTATGCACTGATGTGCCTTCAGAGTACACTGCTGACTGAATGACTTATTACATACATCACAGCAAAATGGCTTCTCCCCACTATGTATGCACTGATGTGCCTTCAGAGTACACTGCTGACTGAATGACTTATTACATACATCACAGCAAAATGGCTTCTCCCCACTATGTATGCGCTGATGAGTCTTCAGTCTACTCTGCACACTGAATGACTTATTACATATATTACAGCAAAATGGCTTCTCCCCACTATGTAGGCGCTGATGTGACTTCAGATTACTCTTACGGCTGAATGACTTATTACACAGGGTGCAACAAAATGGCCGCTGCCCACTATGTATGTGCTGATGTGACTTCAGGATTCTCTTAAGCCTGAATGACTTATTACACAGGGTGCAACAAAATGGCCGCTCCCCACTATGTATGCATCGATGTGCAATCAGAATTTGCTCTTCACTGAATGAATGACCACATTCATCACAGGGATATCGTTGCTCCTCACCATGTACAGGTTGAAGTTCATTCAAATTATCCTGGAAAATGAGAGTAAATAACATAAAAAAATTTTAATAGGAAGAGAAATGAGTTTGAAGCCCCAGTACAGAGAGATGTTAAATCTGTAGGCGTGAGAGTGGAGACAGAGGGGAGAGGGAGGGACAGAGAGTACACCCCCCTGTGTGCTGTGTGCCTGAGTCAATCAGCATGCATGGAGGTTTCTGAGTCGACAGAAATTCAGCTGCATTGCCACTGCTTAACAAATTCAAAATAAAATAAAATAATGCATTTGTAATGCCAGACAGGCATCTAATTAATAGTGGAGAGGCTCCTAAAATGAAATGACAATAAAGGCTGAGTTAAAAATGATACTAAGAAAGGCTGCATATGGCCCAGCCAAATCCCTGAAACAATTATATTGTAACATGTTTGGGCTACTGATGACGCCATTCAGAATGTTAATCAGTCTTATTAACAACCTGCAGGTCACAACTAAAATTACTTTTGACACTGTTGTGGGTTACACAATTTAGAAACCTTACACAATTATCTCTTCACGCTATCTTCAACAGTCCTCACTCATTTACAGTACAACACAGGAGCTATACAAGTGTCACTGAATTACACGCTCCCAATACAAAATGCCGTCTCAGTTATCACCACTATCACTAATTATCACACATAAAATCTTCTAATCGCATGTTCAGTTCTTCTTCTTGTTACTGAATGACTTCTGTTCAGCTGAATACGCCAATCTGACAAGGAGCCGAGACTTCAATGAGCATCTAAGGCTTGGAAGAGAGAGGAAAACAACGGGAGCTACAGGAAGACCAACAGGCTGGAAATCTTGAAGCAAGCAGTAGAAATTTCTAGCGGGTTACTGAAAATGAGGATATGGACCTTGTGGAAAGGTTGGCTTCCTCTGATGTAGAAAAAGAGACAGCATTAGAATAAGAGTAGCCAGATAAGTGGGAGCACCAGACAGTCGCAGGGTTATGGTTCCCACTGGTGAGAGAGCGAGGAAGAGAAACTCTGGATGATTCTGATACAATTGGATCTCCTGGCACATCAGTAGGAAACTGCTCAAGATGAGCTGCTCTTGAAGAGGGATCAGATGTAGTGGTTGAAGAATGGCAAGAATCCGTGGAAACAATGGGAAGAAAAGGAACATGGATGCACTGTTAGGCTATTTGGGAGCAACAGACTTAAGGAGGGAGCAATGTGGAATATTGACTCTATGCAGGAACTGTTGAGCCACAGAGGCTTCGGGGCACATGCGCAACGGGAGAGTTGCGGATTGTATCTTACATAGCTGGAATCGATTGAAAAATTTTCAAACAGTCACTGTACTCTTTTTGTGGAATTGCATTTAAAACTGCGGTATATTCCTTTTGGATGTCCTGGATGGTGTCGTGACGGTCTCCCTTCATCGCCAACTTATCTTTGTTGGAGCCAAATCTGATGAATACTGAGGATGATCAGAGGACTGTGATCCCTTTTCTGGCCAAAAAATCGCACACGATCTTTGATTTGTGGGTTGGGGCATTGTCATGGAGGAGTGACCAGGAACCTTGCTCTTGATATTCACGTCGAATTTGAAGAATTCTTGACCACAAACGATTGAGGACTCTGAGATAATAATCAGAATTCACTATTTGACCTTTTGGCAGAAATTCCTTGTGAATGATTTCTTTGGAATCGAAGAAAACGGTTAGCAGTGTCTTTACTCGACACTTTTGCATGTGCATTTTCTTTGGTTTTGGCTACTTTGGGTTCAACCATGCTGCATCTGCCACTATGTGAGAGGATCATATTGAAAACACCATGTCTCGTCACCAGGAACAATCAATTTTGTAAATTCTATATCACTTTGGGTCGACTGTAACACGTCTTTGCAGTGTTCCACTCTGGCATGTTTTTCATCGCCTGACAACACGTGCAGTACAAACTGCGCATAGACCTTCCAATTGCCCAAATCCTCAGTCAAGATTTGATGCACAGTACATTTTGGTATTCCCAAAAGCAACTTGATGAGACTTGCAGAAACACATCTGTCTGATGCAGGGATTTCAGTCACTTTTTCACATTTTCTTCAGTGCAAACTGTTCTCGGATTTGATGCATGTGAAGCTTCTTCAATGTCCTCCCTACCATCACAAAATAAAGCATTCCAACAAAATATGTTTGAGCGACTCAAACAATCACTACCATACACATTTTTCATCATTTTTTACACTTCTCGAGCTGTTTTGCCTAACTTCAAATAAAATCTGATGTTGGCTCTCTGTTCAATCACCATTTTCAGACGTGCTTCAGAACAGTACTGTTACATTCAAGATCAGTACACATGATGCAGTGATGCTTGCAATTTGAAATTATAGACAGCCACAGCTGAAACTTCAAGAATCTTAACACGACAAGTCGCCAACAGATGGCATTGCAGGGCAAAATAAAAAAAAAAAAATCCTAACAGATCCTGGACACACCATGTATAAGTATATAAAAGGCCTCAAAAAGAAGAATATCATACTGTCAGTTCAATAGACATGTCTACTTGATACCTAGAACAAATCCTTATGAGTCATCTCCTAGGATGCCACACAAGATTCCTCGACAATATAAAAGTTTGGCTTTTGCCAGAAAATGGCCACTACTTCTGGATGTGTGAAATGGTATTGGGCACAGCACCCTGTGTAGAAGCAGGTGTTGGAATGCCTTGAAACAGCTACATATGTAAAATGTATACAAAAGATATGCAGTCTAAACAACAACATTCTATATTTAAAACAAGTTATACACTGTCATATCAACATTTGTTTCCAATGACGCTACATGTTTTGACCCTTATACTGGGTCATCATCAGGCACGTAATAATACCAGACTCAGTTTCTGAATTGCATTTAACAATTTGCATCTAATTCTTTAGTAAGGATCCTTATTGTGCATTTCAGTGTTCTAAAATGTGTAAGTTTAGTCTTTCTGTTAAAATTGAAATACTCGGACTATAAAATTTAAAAATTAGAGATAAAAGACTAAAACATAAAAATTAAAATTGTACTAAAATGGAAAAGAAAAATTTTGTGATAAATATGTTTAAAACTTTGTGACTGCTTTGTGTTGATGTGATTTCCTGGTGGTAGAGGCAAATATAGTGAGGAGTGCCCGAGTATCAGCATCATCTCACATGAGTTAGATCGTGTGGTCTTGACCTTACTATCTTCTTGTGGAGCTTATGCTCGTTATTCTGTATGTCACCCAACAGGTTGTTTATTCAGAGTGATCTGTAACAGTTTTTTAATTATTATAAGCATAAGCCTGTGAGTGCGTTGTTATTTAATTCATTATTAGGTTATTAAGTATTACTATGCTACAAGACGGAATGTCATGCGTTCAAGTCCCGATGTGGTCATTGGATTTTTTCAATTGACCTAATCCTTCCGGCCGCACTAGTCCCTGTGGTTTACTCAGCCTCTAACAGAAATGAGTACCAGGAATTAAGTAAATAATTTTCCCGGGGAGTGAAACACGGCCGGGGCATAAGGCTGACAACCTTACCGCCATCTTTGAGCCAACTGTCAAGGTAATGTGGGACCCCTAACGTCTCACAACCCTATGGGCCTTCACGGCCTGTTAGAGGGATAGTTTTACTTTTTACTTATGTATATTTGATTTTCTTATGATGATACTGTCACGTGTTGGGTGTATAACGCGACAAATAACTTCACGCCTTATTGGATATAGCGAATTTTATTTCACATTCGCTCTTACAATCGCACCATTTACAATCTCAACTTTACTGCCATTGGCAGTATCACAAATACTAGACTGCAAATAACTGGTGACTGACTCTCCGGCTAACTCGTAACTAACTTGAATAGTCTTCGCTGCTCCTTATTTAGCCTTATTAACCAATCACCCGACAGCAGGTACAGGGGCAAATTCAAAATTGTCAGTTATATTAAATTTATTTCAAACAAAGGACAAGAGACAAGACGAGTCTCTAATCTGTCACACATTGTCAAAAAATTTTAGAGAATCTTTATGTATCCTATAACAAGTCCTCAACATAATGACACCTCTATGTTATTACATGGATACAGACTGAATCGAAGACAGAAAACAAACGATAAACTTCAGCATTTAAAGATACTGGGAGCCCTATAATGTAGTACCAAAATGTGGTTTAATGGATTGGGCAGACCAAGAAAATGTGAAGGATTTCTCCTGTATAGAATTTATCGCAAACTTTCAGTATTTCATTATTTCATTCAGTATTTCATTCCATCCACATTAGATTTCCTTAAAAGGAAATGGAACTGGTACATCACAAGCAACATTCAACAAACTAAAGTTGCCTAGAGACATTTCAGAAAAGAAAATTTTCAAAATGTGATCAACAGCACAGTAGAGCTGTTTCACATGCACAGACAGCCAGAGAGACGAAGATAAGATAGACAACTTGTAACTGCTCCACTGTCACTCACTAATTTAAGTATAATTAGAATAATCAGTAATAAAAATTAAGTGCAGGTAACAAGTAATACCCAAGACAGTGAGACATAGTCACATTCTTGTTTTCAGGAATGGACTTATTCCAAATTTTGATGTTACACAGGAAACACCCCCTGTGGCTTTTTCTGAGAAATTTTGTTTGTGAGTAGCACGGCGGCAAACTTTGAGAATTCGATCACTGACAGGTCCTGCATGTCGTAACTTAAAAGTAGGCTGTTTTGAAACCCACGCCAAGCAGGTTATCTGTCAGTGTATGTCGAAAACGACGTTAGGACTTTAAGGGTCAAAGCCCCAAATTGCAGCTAGCTGATTGGAGATTCAGAAATTGTGTAAACCCCAGTTCTCAAAATTACCCAATCAGTGGAATTAGGGGAGTGACTTAGCAGAGGAACTGACGTCCAGGGGACCTCAGTGTTTTCAGACAAAGAGTCACAAGTTAGTTGACAAACAGTTGCCAAACAGTCGCCAAGTGTCTGCTACTCGTAAATAATTCGGAAACAAAATCTGTGTTTTTCGCTGTTCTGTATAACACTCAAGTTCAGAGTGCTAAAGAAAGTGTAAATTGTAATAATAACGTCCGTTATACCAGGACTGTGCTAGACAAGGACCTATATATAAGCATCCTTTGTATTGACTGTGTGTGCGCATGTGTGTGCCATCAGGTGAAGGGAAGTGCTGATCTCAATAAATGGTCACAGTGTTTAAGTGTAAATTAGCATTGAACCAACTGCTTCCCTCCCCGTCCTAAGCGAGGCCCTAGCAAACGCTCTGAAAAGGATCGCAGCTCTACCCACAGCTGAACTAGTTGACTATCTATCACCTTTACCCCCTTTCCAAATTAAACCTCCGACTATTGTAAGCCGATACCACCTGAGCTTACTGGCGCCCAACCTAAGAAGAAGAAGAAGAAAACAAGAAAGAAGAAGAGGAGCGACGAACAACGTGTGACTAATCAACCAACAAGGGGGGGAGTGAAGGTGAGGTAAGAACGGTTACAGAGAGAGAAGAGGTGGAGCCCAACTTGTGGGGCAAGAAGCCTCAAAGAGAAGCCGGTTACAGAGAATCCTGTTCTTGTCTTCCCTGGTATGGAGGTGCATTGGGGTTAAGGGGGCCGGAGCTTCCACCTGCGGATTCTCCGTCTCTCCCTGAATTTTGGTTCCTACGATTTCGTCTCTGATAGCCGTGTGATCGACCTCGGGACTGGGGAAACTGCACTTGGCGCACCTGCGTCTGATTTTGACTTCTGTGGTCATTTCGATGCAGGTTGTTCCCTGGTCGATTGGGGTTGGAATTTTGGGATTGTGTGTGTGTCCTCTGATGATTTTCTGACTGCTCCATCAGCTCAACCCTTCGAAGAAGATCTAGAGCTTGTTCGATGGTCTGCAGCTGGTTGGTGAGCATGGCACGCTGAACCCCCACCGGATAGTGTGCCCTCAGTGCCTCGATCAGGTCTACATCCGAAGGCCTTGGGTCTAGATAAGCTGCCATATTCACATGTTTAAGGAAGTGTCCACTACACGCTGAGCCGCAACCCCATTGGGTTAAGCCAAGAGAGCCGCGACCAAGTGTTGAAGCCGAGAGAGTTATTCGTGGCAAAGATAGATCTGGGAGCTGACAGGACGCTCATGAGAGAGTTAGGCCACCTGTCAGAACACCAACTAGGTGATCCCACTTTAAAGAAGTTGCGTGAAGAACTGGAGAGAGACCCTAGTAAGTTCAGGGACAAGTACATGGTGAGAGATCAGATCCTGTTCTGCAAGAACGACAGGACCTATCCTTATTGGAGAATAATGTTACCCCGACAACTAGAGACCCGAGTAATTCGGTATGTACATAGCAGAACCTGGTACAAACTGACACTTCTGCACATTTGTGTTACCTGCCTAACAGTGAACATACAGCTCACCTCAGGTTCAGCCTTTAGTTCTGGAAATGTTATTGCAACAGGATCCTCTTCCTCTTCTGCATATGAGAGTGCTTCAGCTTTCATATACACAGCATGATTTGCATTATCTGGTGTTGGGTATATCTCAACATATGGAGCCACTAAAATGTTCTCTGAATTTGTACAGTCCTGTAAAAACCATCACATCTTTCTCAGAAATTGATGCACAACATGAAACATCAAACAGCACATGCTCTCCTTGCTATGGCTGCGTCTCATTACATCTAGCTCATAACAGCTGTTCTGTACACATTGTCTTCTCTACAGCTATCAAGATCATTAAAAAGTATCTGGTTCATAGCTCGGTGTTCTTCCCAAGAAACTGACAATCACTGTGGCAGAACTGAAAATATGAGCTTCCCTTGGAACCTAAAAACATCATGAGGAGCTCCACAACTTGTAACCTGCATTCACCAAGCATAATTAAAATGATCAAGTCAAGGAGCAGATGGGCAGCTTAAATAGCAGGCATGGGGGGAGAAGAGGAATGCATACAGGAGTTGTTGAGAAAGCCAGAAGGGGCTCATTACTGTGGTCACGCATGCTAATCATGGCTCTGCATCCTAAGGCAAAACAGACCCAGTGCAAACCCTTTGAAATTATTTCTTTAAAATCTACCTCAACAGCATCTTTCCATCTGAACTTATGTCTCACATATGGTCTGTTTCTGTCGTGATTTCCCTCCAAAACTTTGTATGCATTTCTCATTCTCCCATGGGTACTACATGACTTACCCACATCACTCTACTTGAATTGATCACATTCCTACATAAATTATTTTAATGTCTACACCCAAGTGTAAGAAACTCCCCAAATAAATAATGCAAACAAACAGAAGAATGTGAGTAAATATTTAGTTTCTTTGGCCAATTGAAGGACACATGAAAATAAAACTCTTGTCCATACACACAAGCATGAAACACAGTCCCTTCTCTCAAAGCAGGAAATGTTTCTTCTGCGCTCTGCAGTACAATTCTTTCCATTCTTGTTACAAGAGAATGCAGAATCCTTTGTAAACTAGACAACTGTTCATCATATGATAAACATTTTGTGGGGTTCATTGTAATTAGCTAGCAATTTAAATTCTTGCTTCTAATAAGATTACCAGTAACTACATGTGAACAGTATCGTGACTCCATAAGGATTTTTGCTGCTATAGAATTTCTCTGAAAAACAGTTCAGTTTACACAAAGTTTAATTTCATCTAAATCAGAACTGCTTAAAAGGAGAGCAACATTCATTCAACAAGCTATAACTGTCTAAGAGACAGTTCAGAAAAAAGGCCTTCAAATGCCAGTCAGCAGCACAGTGGAGTTGCTTCATGTGCACAGAGAGCCAGGGAGATGGGATGAGAAAGACACTTGACTTCTGCATATTTGTTATATCTGCCCAATAGCAGACATACAGAAACATATAGCTCACCTCAGGTTCAGCCTTTATCTCCTGAATTGTTATTTCCAGAGGATCCACTTCCTCTTGTGAGTCTGAGACTTCCTCCGCTTTTATATTCATGGACTGGTTTACATCATGACTTGCTGGGTATATCTCACCATATGGACCCATTAAAACCTTCTCTGAATTTATATAGTTCTGTAAAAGCATCATATCTTCTATCAGTCACGGATGTACAACGCCATACATCAAACAATGTACACTCTTTATGCTGTAGCTGCTTTTCATTACATCTACACCATAAAAGCTGTTCTCTATGGATTTCTTCTCTAGACTTCATAATCTTAAAAAGTTTTAAGTTCATAATGCAGGGAACTTCCTCAGAAACTAGTGGTCCCTGTGGCAGCACAGAAAATGTCTGCACTTTATGTTACATAAGCGCTCATTACTGTGTTCGCACATGTCCATCAAGACTATTTCATTCTGATACAAACAAACCCAGTATAAACCCACCCCAAAAATTATATCTCTAAAATCCTTCTCACAAACATCTCCCAAGTGGTCTCATTCTTTCAGGTTTTCTATCCTAACCTTTGTATTGCATTTCTCAAGCTCACATGTGTGCTACATGACCTATCCACATCACTCTCCTTGAACTGCACCCTCTCCTACATAATGTACCAAACTGTTATAATACTGAGAACCATGTAAACTACCCAGATGGATTATGAAAACTAAACCAATAGAGGTATAAATGTTTAGCTTTTCAGGCTATGAGAATTGACGGACAATAAAATTCTCAGGCGCACGCAAGCACAAACACTTACCATTATTACTCTCCGAGCAGGAAATATTTCTTCAGCTCTCTGTAGCAGAATTCTTGGCATTCCTGTTGCAAAAGAATGCAGAATCATTCATATCCTTGAAACTTTTTTTTGTAACACTTGTTCTGTGAGTTGAAAATGAACTGATTTACCTGAATCCTGGTGTTATAGCATCATATTTCTAACAAGTGTACCTGTATCTAGCTAAGCATATTTGCCCACGTGTGTAAGGAAACATATTAATGATTGTGTACAAACATACAGATGTGGCTTTCTTTGTTCTCACAGCAGAGACTACGTAGCTTACTGTCTTATTTCACGTTGTGTAGTCTAACAGATTTGCTGAAGTTTTGAAGGCAGCTTGTTCCACCCATTTTGAGTGAACCTCTTGCTTCCAGAACATCAATAGCTGGCTACCAGAATGCACAGAAAACCTACTCTACAATTTTTAATACTGGTGCCACAAACTTGTATTCACTATGCATTTGCATACCCTGCAATTTCAACCAGTTCACCATACTTCGGCTCTCACGACTGACAATCTGTGCTCTTTGCATGTGGCTCAATTTACCTCATATATATTTTAATATGTTATATCTTAAATTTTATAATATGTTATATTTAATATTGTATATTTATATTTATTGCATGTGATCTTTTATGTAAGGCTTTGTATGTGACAAATTTTATATCCAGCCCTACTGTGTAACAACTGGATCTATGAAATGTAATTACAAATAAATAAATAAATAAATAAGCAAGTCGGCCTGATTTGTGTAATAGGGGAGAAAACGCACAAACAAGGTAAAAATGTGCATTCTAATTGGCCATGGTCCACAGAAAGGGAGCCGAGAGGTTTAGAAGAATCCATAGTAGAACTTGCAACATCGGAATATCACCAACGGCCTGTCAAAATATGAGGAAATACAATACCCACAACTTACACGCCTATATAAAAAAAAAAAAGTAATGTTCGGTAATAATGCTGCATGAGATTGTGGTGCTCGGTGCTAATAGTCGTCAACGTCACAAACGTAAAACGCCTAAGTCTCTCAACAGCATCAATGCAGCTCAACGCCCTTCTGGGCCTTCTGGTTCTGGGACCGGATCTTGCTGCCTTTTGTTTAATTCCATATTCTATCACTGGAGGGCAGGAAAACCAAAAGAAACATAACAGTGATTATATTTAAATTCTTGTCAAATACTTTGCGGCATATCTTTCTGAGGTCTTCAGAAAAAATTCCGAATTTTAGAACTTCACACGCTTACATTTAGTTTCAAAAGTTATCCATACATAAAAATAAATGTATTAAACATTTCTCTATATTATCGTCGCCATTCTGTGTCCAGCACAAACCATTATTTTTTTTTCTATTCCTCGATGGGTCGGACCAGGGGACCAGGGGGATGCAACTCAATGCTATTGGTGGGCAACACCGGGTCGGACACCTCACACAGACGCGATACGATTCGGGACGACATAGGACTCGGAACGAAAACGGCTGTTTACCGAGTGGCCCGCGCATACAGACGCGACACTCGAGAATCTTTGACACCCGATAACCAGCTGGCCATGACTCACACTCAATCAGTATTATACGTATCGTACGTACGTGAAACGACATGGGTAGCCAAATGGAACAAATAACAGAGTTCGTCAAAGAAAATGCTTTAAGGCTCCCACACACAGACGCGATCGGACGCGATACTCAGCTCGGTACGGTACGGGACGATATCTAATTACATTGCGGTAAATGGATGTCCGCACACTGGCGCGGTACTCCGAGGAACGCGATATTATCGCAGTCGGTATATCGCCTCGGTAATTCGGTCGCGCTGTATCTCAGCGGTAAATAGTCATGGATCCGTCTTCGGAGACTGAAGTTTTTTTTTAGCTGTCGCTCTTGATGTACACGAAGGTGAATCCAGGTAAGTATTTTACTGAGCACTAAATCCGCGTAGTTCTTTTCCTCCACATTTTCTTTAGTCACATACAGGGTGATTCACGAAGATTTACCCCCACTTAGGGAGGGCATTCCTGAGGTAATTTGGAACAAAAAATGTTAATATACTAATGGTATCCAACCAGTGGCGTAGCATGACTACCAAAAGCAGGGAAGCAACTTTATATACGTGTATATAAAATTTTTCTAGATACCCTACATTTTCTATCTTCTATTTAAAAGAAAACAGCTAATAGTTTAATATGTATTGTATACTTAAGCTAATATATTAAAGTAACACCTAATTATCAACACAATTTTATAGCCATCAAATGACAGGGTTGTGAACCTGGAAAATAATTAATGCTTACTTTATTGTTTATAATTCAGCTCGATTCTTCTGTTTTTTCTTGGCAAACAGATCAATAACCTCATCTAGAAAGCTGGGTTTGGACTGCAGTTTGTTTAGGAAGGACTTTCCAATGTTCATCAAAGCCAGTGATGACAACCTATCCTAGTTCTGCGAATTTCTTAAGTAGTTTTTTAATCTCTTCAGAGCTGAAAATGAGCGTTCATCCGCAGCACTTGTCGCTGGTATTGTTAATACAAGCTCACATAATTTGAAGATTTGCGGGAAAACGCGTGATAACTGAAGAGCATACATATATTGATGTAAGTCATACACACTATCTTTTGTCATATCTGGGTCCGAAAACATTACTAAAAGTTCACTCTTTAAGGCAACAAAGTCAAAAAATGCACCATAATTTTCTTTTAAACAGGAAAATGCTTTTTCAGGAAATGAGGTTCTATACATGGGAAAGTATCTGGCATCAAGAAGACTCAAGAAGAGGAGCGTAGCGTTCTCCGAAAATCTAACAGAGACATTCTGACACACGACATCAATAATTTCACAGAACAGCCGTTTATAGGAGTTTTTTCTTTCTTCTCCACTCATTGAGTCAATGCGAATTCTTTTGGGTCGAGTTGGGCCATTTGAATCGAAGACATTTTCCATTTCACTCCAAAGGTGGTCAAATCCTCCCCTTAAT